CATGTTGTCTCAAATCACATGATTTCATCTTTTTTATGGCTGAGCAATATTCCATTGTGTATATGATCTCTTTAATATTACTATTCATCATCATATTTTTAGGAATAATAATAATCCCTCACTTGCTGAGCACTTTCATAGACTGTTTCCTTTGCTGTAAAATCAATCCTGCGAACAGTTGCATATTCCCAGTTGAGCATATTCCCAGCTGAGGCTGGAAGGGAGGTGGCAGCTGGGCAGGCTGCACGTGTGGCCAAGAGCTTGGAGTGGAGCTGGACCTCCTGCCTCCCTGAGCTTGTCCTGGGACTCTGAGCGTGAGTGGGTACCCTCCTGCCTCCCCGTCTCTGGGAAGTTCGAGGCACTGCCAGCCCTGAGTGGTCACCCTCTCCTGGGGAAGCCCGGCAGCAGGAACAGGCCCTTCTCCTAGGAGAGGATGGTTTGGCCTGGGCATCTCCAGCTGTCCTTGCAAGTTCTTTCCAGCATCATGCCAGCCAGGAGTCCCAGAGGCCTCTGCTGCTGCCTCTTGGGGGGCAGGGTGTGGGGACAGAAGAATACAAATACAAAAGAATCATGCTCCCCCTCTGGCAGCCTACAGCCTAGGTAGGCAAAGACAGATATGTTAAAATTGTAAGGAATAGGGCCGGTCTGGTGGTGCAGGGGTTAAGTGCGCACATTCCACTTTGGCGGCCCGGGGTTCAGATCCCAGGTGCGGACACAGCACCACTTGGCAAGCCATGCTGGGGCAGGCGTCCCATATATAAAGCAGAGTAAGATGGGCACAGGGATGTTAGCTCAGGGCCAGTCTTCCTCAGCAAAAAGAAGAGGATTGGCAGCAGATGTTAGCTCAGGGCTAATCTTACACACACACACACACACACAAATATATATATACATATATATAAGGAATAACTATTACTTATAAATCACTTCTGGGCCAGACCCAGCACTCAGCCCCTTAAGTAAATGGTCAGTCACCTCACAGGTAAGAATTACGCCCATTTTACCGATGAGGGGCCTAAGGCTCAGAGAGGTAAAATCACTTTCCCGTCTCCACCCAGGCGGTCAGTGGTGGTGCCAGGAATCAAACAAATCCCTGTCCACTTGGGAGAGGGGCAGATTTCCCCCCAGGGGGACAGAGCATCCCCCGCTGCCCTGGTTATGTGATTCAAACCTTTTTTTTACTGAGATATAATTTGCATACAAGAAAATTTACTTTACAACGTGCATGTAACCACCACCACAATCAAGATACAGAGCAGCTCTGCCATTCCCAAAACTCCCTCGTGCCCTCTCCCAGTCAGTCCCCTCTCCCACCCCCAGCCCTGGAGACTAGTGATCTCCTTCCTGTTCTTACAGTTTTACCTTTTCCAGAACATCATTTGAATGAGATCACCCGGGGTGCCGTCTTGGGCCTGGCTGGTGTCTTGGACAGAGAGCTTCAGATCTGTCCAAGTTGATGCATGCATGTACCTAGGAGTGGTTCAGTCCTTTTCATTGTTGAGTAATATTCCATTGTACAAGCATGCCACGATTTATTTACCACTCACTACTTGATACACATTTGGGTTGTTTCCAGTTGGGGGTGCTTTCAAATAAAGGTGTTATGGACCTTTGCATCCAGGTGGTTTTGGGGACATGTTTTCATTCCCCTCATGTGAATATGCAGGGGAGGCATTGCTGGCTTGTAGGGTCGGTGTGAGTTTCACTTCATAAGGAACTGTCCAAATGCTTTCCAAAGTGGCTGTACCACTCTGCATTGCCGCCCTAAGGATGAGAGTTCCAGTTGCCCCACACCCTCCCAGCACCTGATGTGGTTAATCTTTTTAATTTTAGCCATTCTAATAGGTGTGAAGTAGGATCTCATTGTGGTTTTAATCGCATTTCCCTAATGACTAATGACCTTGAGCATCTTTTTATCTGCCTACTTGTTATCGTATGTTTTCTTTGGTAAAGTGCCCAAATCTTTTGCCCATTTTTTACTAGGTTGTCTGTTTGAGAATTCTTTATATATCCTGCATACAATCCAGATATGTGATGTGAAATTATTTTCTCCCAGCTTGTATTTTGTCTTTTCATTTTCTTACCACTGTCTTTTGAAGAGTAGAAGATTTTAGTTTTGATCAAGTCCAGTTTGTCAATCTTTTCTTTTACGGCTTGAACTTCTAGTGTCATCTCTGCCTAGCCCAACAACACAAAGATTTTTTTTAAATGTTTTCTTCTAGACGTTTTATAGTTTCAGCTCTTACCTTTAAGTCGATTATCCATTTTGACTGAGTTAATTTTTGTATATGATATGAGGAGAGAGTTGAGGTTTATTTTTTCCATATAGATGTTCCATTTTTCCAGCATGACTTATTGAAAAGACTATCTTATCCTAATTGAATTACCTTGACACCTAGTTGAAAGCTGACCATGTCTGTGTGGGTCTACTTCTGAATTCTCTATTCTGTTCTACTATTCTCTCTGTCTATTCTTACACTAGGACCATACCATCTCGATTACCGTAGCTTCACAGTGAGCCTAGAAATCAGGTAACATAGGTCGTCCCACTTTGCTCTTTTTCAGAATTGTTTTGGCTATTCTAGATCTCTTCGTTTCCATAAGAACTTTATAATCAGTTTTTCAATTTCTTTTTAAAAAACAGTCTGCAGGAATTTTGATTGGAATAGCAGGAAACTTATAGATCATTTTGGGGAGAATTGATGTCTTAACATTATCGAGGCTTCTGATTTATAAACACCGTCTACCTTCATTTAGATACTCTTACATTTCTCTCAGCAAGACTTTATGGTTTTCGTGCACAGGTATTCCGTGTCCCTGATGTACTGCACATGGGCTTGCTTTCCTAACTTGCACTCTCACAGGTGGTCGGAGCCCCGAGGGATGCTCTTGCTCTTGCGGTCTCCTGTCCTGCTCCAGATTTTTCTCGTGCAGAAGCCTGTGGACAAGAGCTGATGAGTAGGTGTAGACCCCCCCTGTGCACGGGGCTCCCAATGATTCCAAACTGTCACACTAACCTTTAAAAAGTCATTAAAATTTTTGTTGTATTTTCTTACTGCTTGTATGTGGGCCTCTTCCTTCCGAGCTCCGCCAAGGGTGGAAGAGCAGGTGTGCCCTCTCTCTTCTCGGAGGGCCTGTACTCTTTGGAATTCAGTTCACCTGCTTGCCTTGCAACCTCAGCCCTCTGCTGGGCTAAGAAAAGTATGACTTCCTCGATTATCGGGCTTTTTCTTATTGTTAGAGTGGGACCGATGTTCTCCTGTAGCCCTCCACACCTTAAGCAGGGCGTGGGTAACAACAGGCCCTGCAGGGGTGGGAGGGCCGGGGGGAGACTGAGAAAGGGCAGGAGTCCAGCCGGAGGTCTGGGGGCTTTTGAGGAACCCAAATCCTGACCCTGGCCCACTCCTGAGGCACAGCCACAGCTCACCTGGCCCCCCAACCAAGCCGCAGCTCAGGAGTAACCCAGAGACCAATGTCACCCCTGGGAGGAGCCTCATCGTCATCGTCCCTTGCATTTGCTGGTCACACTGTTTTCATAGGTAGGCAAGACAAACACTTTCCCTCCCATTTTTCACATGAGCAGAAGGGCTCAGAGTCCCTCCAAATCCAAGAGCCCAAAGGCTCCCCAGAGCCGTCTGGCCCCTACACTGGACGCTGTGGGGCCCTTGGGGTCAGCGGAGGTCCCTCTTCCTCATCTTGAGCGCTGCACTCCTGCTTCCAGATCTTGAGCTTCTGCCTGAGCTGTTGATTGGCAGAGGTTCCCAATGGTATAAGATTCGAAATTACTGATCCAGGCCAACCCCGCTGCTCCTTGTCCTGGCAATGGCAACTGACCAGTGGTCACTCCCAGAGCACTATGTGAAGGATTCTCAGGGGGCATCCGGGTCAGTGGGCAAGAGTCAGTGATGGACTGGCAATGTCTGCCATGGGCATGAGGTGGGGAGCATCAGCATACATTTCCATGCGTTATTCCTGCTGCACGAAATGTGCCAGGACCACTTTTAGCGCCAGGGAGGCTGGCCTCCTGGAGAGCCCCTCTGCCTGCACTACCCACCATGGAAAGGACCGCACTGTGCCAAGGGCATGTGCCCCCCAGGGCCAGGATCCCCAACTTTGCAGGCCACACTCTGGGTACCTCGGCCCACAGAATTCCCTGCCTGAACAGCCCTGAGTGCACTTCTAGGGCCTGTGGTGGCATTGACCTAGGACAGTCCCCCTAAGGTGTGACAGGTTACCATGTGTGGCCCGTAGGTCCAAATGGTAGCTGTTTAGAAGGGGTAGTTTCCAAGGGGAGGCCGTTTGCAGAGGGATGTTGGAGCCTGGACCTGAGGGCTAGACTGTCCACACACAGGCATGTGAGGCCCCCAGAAGGAGGTCTCTGTGCCCTCATCCCACGCCCCACAAATGTCAGGGAGGGGCTTGTGATGCACTCATTGAAAGAGTGTGGCGATGGATTAGTGATGTCTGACATGGGCAAGGGGTGAGTTAAATTAACATCACACGCTTCACGGCAGCCCTCCCTGCCCTCTAAGACGCACCTCATTCCTTCCGCCTCCTGCCTGGCATCCACGTCCTGCTCGCACTTCTGCAGGGGAAGAGCACTCACCACCTTCCGAGGAAGCCCCCCCTGCATGTTTGAACAGCTCTGCTAATTAGAACGTTCTTCCCTACGCAGATCCCAAAACTACCTCCCAGCCACTTCCACCCTTTGGACCAGATTCTGGATGGTGACTTGCCAAAGGCCACAGAGCTACTAAGTGGTGGAGCCCAAGTGGGACCCTCTCGCTCTGTTCTTGCCTCTCCGCCCTGAGCGGATGCTCAGAGAGCCCCAGAGTGAGCAGGGCCAAGGGAGGGAGGCTGAAGGTCGAGTCTTCTTGTGGCTCCAGCCCCTCCCTGAACATCCTCCACCCAGTCATCTTGCCCAGTCCAGCAGATTAGAGCCCTGGCTTCGTTGTCCCTTTCCTCAAAAACATAGAGAAAAAGAAAAACACAACACAACATTTTGGGATCCAAAACAAAACACCAAGTTATTATAAAATATTAATAAATACATAAAAATTTAAAGATCTGAATCTCAAAGGCACAAGAGTTTACACCCCTTAACACAGGCAGGCTGGGTCTCACAGGAATGATTGAGCGTGTGCCCAGCATCCCAGGAGGGGGTGGGCAGCAGTGGAGAGGGCACCTGGGGAGTCCCCTCTAGGGCCTCTATTCTCCAGGGGGTTGCGGGCCGGGGCCCACTGCTCCTGTTCCTCCAGCCTGGCTCAGAACGGCCCTGTGGACCTGGGGAAGGAAGGACTGGCGAGCACCTCTGTCACCTGCCGAAGGGTCTGGGAGGCCCTCTGCACAGCTCGGAGGACCCCTGGGAGGGATTCTGGGGAGCCCCGCGTGGCTTCCCCAGAGCCGGAGGGTCTAGGGAAATTACCTGCCTTTGGAGGTAACACAGAGGGTGGCCGAGGCCCCACAGTGCTGTGGGTCAGTGTCTCCTCCCCACCCCAGCATGGGGCAGAGGCTCACATCCTACCCTGGGCCACTTGGCCTGGGTGGCCCTTGTCATCCCCAGGGCCCAGCTATGAGTGGACTCTGGTCCTCAGCTCTGGGGCCTGACCACCAGCACCACAAACCTCTGGCCCAGCTTGAGCCAGCTGGGAGAAGAAGCCCTGCCTCCAGCAGGATGGTCTTCGGCAGAGGGCAATGATTGACAGGGCACAGCCAGACAGCTCACGTCTCCTCTGTGTCCCACAAAGTCCCCCTCGTGCCCCAGAGTGAGGACCAAAGTTAGCATTCCTGGTCCAGCCAGGGGTCTAGCACCAGTTGGGAAACCCCTGGATGATGAGGACACACCTTCCAGAGTGTCCAGAGCCCCCTTCTCGGGTGGGCTGGGAGGCCCGACTGTAACCTGGAGGCCCCAGAAGGAACAGGAAGTGCCATCTCCAGGGACAGAGGTAGCCACCGACACTGCCCTCCAGCCAGGCAAGGCAGGCTGGACCCTTGGCCTTGGCCGGAGGAGCTGTGTGGAGCTCTCATTACAAAGAGCTGGGCCTGAGATGAACATGCCTCCCACCCGCCCCAGCCCTGCAGCCAGAGCCTCACGACCACACTGCCCCAGCTCCCTCCCTCTCGGACTGCCCCGAGGGCCCCCTTCACCTCCCCTGGCCCCGCTCTGCCTGGGCAGAGGGGCCAGATGGACAGGGCCTCCACAGGGGTGCCCCCAAGCTCTGATGAAGGCAGACAGCCCGAGGGATCCAGTGGCTGTGAGGAGGGGGTGCTGGCTGGCCCTCAGTCCTGGCAGAGAGACTGACAGGAGCCCCTGAGAGGTTCGATTCGGCCGCCTGGGCTGTTCGCTGAGGTATCTCTGGTTAGGACATTCCCTGATCTTCTCCTTCCTTGCACACCCACTTCACGGGGTGAAAGTGTCACAGCCCCAGACTAGAACAAGAAAGCAAATAATTTAAAAGGAAGTCTGTGCTTGCCCTGCCCGCTGTGTGTCCTCTGCGTGGGGGTCTCCGGGCAGCACACAGAGTGTAAACTTGACTAGGGGGATGGGGAAGGGGGGGCTCATGTCACCGGGGAGGTGGCCGGAAGGCTGGTGCCTGGATATTTCGGGTCTTCCCTGAGTTGCCCTTTATTTTCAGAGGCTTGCAGAGGAGCTCCGGTCCAGCCCCAAGTTAGTCCCCGGTGGGTGCATGGGGAAGTGCCCCAGAATGTTCTAGGGCTCAGTTTCTGGGGAGCAAAGGGGCGCTGGGTCACTCGGGAGCTTGTGCTCAGAGGTCCTGGGAGCTGTGTGGGTCGGCCATGCTGGTGGTCTTCTGATCCCGTTGGCCCCACAGTGGGCTCCACCGCATCTGGAGGGGCCTTGGGTCCTGGTAAAGGGCTCCCAGGAGCAGAGAAGGGTGATGGTGAGGCCAGGGCAGGGGCCGGGCTCACGCCAGGGCCCAAAGCCTTCTTGGTACAGGACTCGCAGCACAGCCGGTGGTAGCCAGGGATGAAGCAGTAGCGATCGAGCACTTCCATCTGGCAGAAGATGGACCTGTCCCCCACGCAGGGCTCTGCTGCACACACAGCACAAGGACCGATGCTGGGGGGACACCCATCATTGGGGTGACATAGGGACACAGGCCCCCACCTCCCACTCAGCCCACCAACAGCAGGCCCTCCATCTCCTGCCCTGGCTGGACTCGCTACAAAGGTTTTCCCAGAGGGGGCCACACGGCTGCCCGAGAGGAGAGACTGGCCTGAGAGTCCTTATTATATAGACAAGAAACTACAATCCCTTAGAGCAGTGGTTCTCAAAGTGGGGTCCCCACACACACAGCATCAGCATCACCTGGAAGCTTGTTGGAAATGCTAATTCTTGGGCCCCATCCAGACCCACTGAATCAGGAACTCTGGGGGTGGGGCCCAGCTCTGTGTTTTGACAAACCTTCAAGGTGATTGTAATGCCTGGGAAAATCTGAGAGCCATGGCCCTACAGCATTAGTTGTCAGACTTGGCTGCAAAATGGAATCACCTGGGAGCTTTGCAAATTGCTGTGGGTTCTACCCTCAGCAAGACCAGACAGTCTCGGTGCGGCCTGGGCACTGGGCAATCCTAACCTGCAACAAAGCCTGGGAACCTTGCTCGAGATGGAAGTGGGATCCCATTCAACCCAAAGGAGTCTGCCGATTCTGCCCAGGGCCAGGCAAGTGCCCAGGGAACTCACACCTGGGACACGCAGATTACACATCGCGCTGCCAGTCATCACGTATTTGCAACGTTAAGCCCTCCACCCATAAATTTGGAATCAATCAGATCTAGGTTCCAACGGAGGCCCTGTCACTTAAAAGCTATGAGGCCTCGGGCAAGTCACTTAAACTCTCCAACCCTCAGTTTCTTCACCTGTAAAATGGGGATAATGCTGACATCTCCCAATGAAAAATAACAGTATAATGATAAATAACATTTATAGAGGGTGTGCACTATACTACTTTTGTTTGCTTTGTTTCAAATATCATCTAAAAATACTTCTGTGTTTCTGTAAAAATCCCAGATAGGTCTCTCCAGACAATGTGAAAGCAGGAGCTTTGCTTTCTACTGAGTTTTGGCAGAGAAAGAGAAAAAGAGAGAGAGGGAGGGAGGGATGGAGGGAGGGGGAGGAAGAGCACAGTGTGGGTGGGCGGGGGTGGGGGGCTGGCTGGTTTAGGGGAATAGGAGAAAGATTAGAAAAACTGGGGAGCCAGTGGCCTCTAGATGGCACCAGAATTCTAGGACCAGAATCAGAGGCCCACCTGCGCTCCCAGGAGAAAAGGGAAGGAAACCCAGGCACTTGCACAGCCTGAGCCTCAGCACAGCAGAGCAGCAGCAAGGCTGGAGCCAGAATATCCTCTGAGAACATCTAGTCAGACCCTTTATTTTACAGATGAGGTCGCTGAGCTGAGAGAGGCTCCAGGATTTGCACAAGGTCGCACAGCTAATGGGCCTCTAACTAGGAGTTAGAGTCTGTGATCATTTTGCTACTCATCTTGTCAGACCCTGGTCCTTGGGAAGGTGAGGAAGGGAAAGAGTGAAGGAACATAGAACATACAGCCTGGTACATAACAGGTGATCAGTCAATATTTATTAACGGATGGATGGATTGGGTGGGTGGGTGGATGAGTGGATGGACAGATGGCTGGGGAGATGGAAGGAGAGACAGGAGGATGAACTGACGGGCTCCTGATCATGAGCCAGAAAGAAGTTACTACTACTATTTTTGTTGTTGTTAGCTGTCAGGTAGGCAGGAATGCATGCATTATCTCATTTAACTCTCTCAACAGCCCTATGAAGACAGCTCAGACCTACCACTGCTTATCCAAAAATCTTGGAACCAGATATTATTCATAATTCAGAACTTTTGAGGTTATAAAAGTAATATCAGGTGTAGTCATATTATATAACATCCTCAGTGGAGACTGGGATATCCCCTTGTCACCAAATATGGCAATGTTTCTGTAGCAAAAGAGTAACTTATCTCTTGTTGGTTCGGGTCAGATTTTGCTGCCAAATGAGTTTGCACCAAATTTAGGGAAACACTTGCAACTTTCAACATTTTGGAATTGCAGCTAAGGGATTGTGGACAAGTATGAGTGTCATCCTCATCACACAGCCGAGCAGTCTGAGGCTCCAGGAGGCTAAGGTCACATGGACAGACTGGAGGCTGGGTCTACTCCACTGCTTGCCCGTGTCTGTGACACCATGGCCACTGCAAGGTTTGGGGAGGGGGTGGAGTCCCGAGATATACTTACTTGATGATATCTTGTTAATGGGATGTAGGGGTCCAGGTTGTGGCACCCACTGCCCCTCTGGGGTCACAAGTTCCGGGACGTCAGCCCTCACTGTGGAGTTCCAGAGATTTCCTGTGAGCGGGGAGAAGCGGCTCTAGCATTTGGGACTTCTAGTCAGCCAGGACACAAGCCAGGCTGGGTCTCAGGTCCAGGCCGGAGGAGCTGAGCCTGCCCCCCATCCTATCTCGCTCACCTCCACAGGCAGGCAGGCTGCAGATCTGGACAGTGTCTGGCTTGTCCCCCTCACACTGCCCGAGACTATTGGCGCTGGTCCGGCATACCACCTGCCGCTGCTGGATGCCCTCTCCACAGGTGGCGGAGCACTGCCATGGGAGGGCCAGGCCAGGCCACGGTGGCCGGGGAGGGGTAGGTGGAGAGACAGAGGAAGCAGGCAGTGAGCTCTGAAGTCCAGCCAATGTCCAGGACAGAAAGGGTACAGAGGAGGGTGCCAAGTCTCTACTTGGCCGGAGGGACATGCAAGGACTGCTCTGCTCCAAATGGCCTCACCAGGACAGCACACCAGCTGTCAAATACTCCTGGACCAGGTGGTAAATAGCCACTGCCCTGGACCTTTCTACCATCTAAATGGTTCACCCTGGCTCAGGAGGGGACCTCCAGGACCCCATTCCAGCACTGCTGCCTGTGCCTGCTGTGTCTAATCTGTGCCTGGATCCTTAAAGATTTTGTGTATCACCGTGGGACACTCCCTTCTCATGATGCACCAGCCTGAGGGACCCGGGGCAGGCCAACACCTGATGATATCTTGTTAACGAGATGTAGGGAACTGGACTGTGACACCTGCTAAACTGAGAGGGCTGGGTGACAGGGTGGCCATGGACCCTTCTAGCTCTGAGATTTAATGACTTTGTGACTCAGTTTACCAAAACTCAGCTTGCAGAGGCCTATCTTCTTCTTCAAGAGGGAAAGCCGTGGGTGCAAGGAGCAGAAGGCAAACAGTTTACAAGCGCTGCCACACACAGCATCCCCTGGACCTCACACACTCTGATAAAGGGGGGACTCCCGGCAAAGCAAGGCTGCCCAACGTGACCAGGTCGCTGGGTTTTGTAGGCACTGACCACAGCCCCTCCGAGCAGGATGGGGAAAAACTTGCAAAGGCCCACTTATAATACTGGGGCATTTGATGACCCGAGGGAGACACAAGGGTCACGGGCCACACAGAACCACGGGACAAAGAGGAATGATTACAAACAACAGCTCTTGAGTGCTTTGTCAGTCTTACAGGGGCCACCATCTTCCACTATCTGTCACCTCTGTTAGTTTCATCTGAGGGGTCCTCTGTGGACCAGCAATCTTCCTGTTTTATATTAAAGCAAATAAATCTACATATCATGGAGAAGAATATAAAATCTGCATGAGCTGTGTGGGGATTTTTGATTATTTAAAAAAATACTCTTTATTATGCAATATTTCAAGCATACAGAAAAGTCTGAGGAAGTTGGTCATGAAAGCCTGTCCCAATACCACCACAGCTCAGCATTCTGGAGTATTTTCAAACCTTGGCTTCTGCCTTTTGAAACTTGAAGGAAATGGTAACCCATTGGAAGAGGTTTATCCTTAATACTTTAATTTTTTCTCACTTATTTTCCTGAGGTTTATCTATATCGATAAGTACAGTTCAAGCTCACCCATTTTTCTTGCTGTATTTTATTGTATGAACAGACCATGATTTTTTTGGTCCAATCTCCTACAGATGGACATTTAGGATATTTTCTGATATTTTTCTATTACAATGAGCATCATTGTACTTATCTCTATGATCAAATGAGGCTTTTAAAATTGTAGTAAAATATACATATAAAATTTACCATTTTAACCATTTTTAAGTGTCCAGTCCAGTGGCCTTAAGTCCATTCACACTGCTGTGCAGCCACCACCACCATCCATCTCCGGAACTGTTTCTTCTTCCCAAACTGACGCTCTGTCCCCAGTAAACACTAACTCCTCCTTCCTCCCCTCCCCCAGCCCCAGGCACCCACCCTTCTACTTTCTGTCTCTATGAATGTGACAGTTCTAGGCACCTCACATAAGTGGAATCATACAGTATTTGTCATTTTGCGTCTGGCTTATCTCACTTAGTATAACGTCTTCAAGGTTCACATCAAATGAATTTTTGAGAGAAAATCCAAGACATCAAAAAACTTCCCTGTGGCCACTTCCAGGGCTGTGAACACCTGGACTATTCCACAGCCTCCTCATTGTTTCCGTATTCCCACCCTGGCCTCCCAATGATGAACTTTCTACCGAGCTGCTGGAGTGATCTTTTACACCCAACCAGAGCTTGTGACACCCCCATTAAAACCTTTCAATGGTTTCCCATGCACATTCTACCTCCTCATAAAGCCCTGTGGCATTTGACCCCTGCCTGCCCCTCCAACGTCATCCTGTAGCCCCTGCCCCTCCCATTAAGTTCCAGTCCCACTGTTCTTACAGTTTCTGGAACAGGGTAAAGTTGTTCCTGCCTCAGGGTCTTCCTGTGGCTCATCCCTCAGGTCTCAGCTCAAATGTCACCTCCCTAGAGAGGCCCTCCATGATACATTACCTTCATTTATCCCACACAGCTCTAGCTGCAACCTGCAAACGCCTTCGTTATTGGTTTACTTGTCTCGTACGGTTCCCTCCCTGGACTGCAGGTTCCACAGAGACAAGAATCACAAGGTCTGTCTGGACGATGCTGGATTCCAGGCATTCCTAGTACAGTGCGCCTGGCCCATAGTCGGCAATCAGGAAATATTTCCTGAATGCAAGAATGTGCTCCAGTTTGCTCATCTGTACACAGGAAGATCAGCCCGTGCCTCCTAGCTCTGGGTGATGGCGAATGAACCCAGAACCATGGCCCACATACGTGGGAGCGGTTGGACTTCATTGTGAGAAAAATCAGATCAGATGTCAGGGAGAAATTCATCCAGAAACACCCTGCCCACAGGGAGCACCAGATCCCTCTGCAGCTCCCCCACCCAGACCCACCTCTTCCCTGACTCCCCAGAGAAGCTGCCTGTAGGCCCAGCCCCTCCCACCCTCTGAGGACAACTCACCTGCGACCAGGCTCCCGTCCGCCACTGAGCTGGACAGGGCACGCGGAAGCAGGGCCGCCGGGCCTCGGGCCGGTCCCCAGGGCAGGCCTTGGCCGGCATGGCCTTGTGGGTACCGTTGGAGAGGGGCAGCAGGCACTGCACCCCCCGGGTCTGCACCCCCAGCTTCCCACAGCTCCGGCTGCAGGTGCCCCACTCCTCCGTCACCCACCTGGAGGCAGACAGGGCAGAAGGCGGACGGGAGGTGGGGCCAGGGGGACAATTTCTCCCAGGGTCACTCCCACCCCCTGAATCACTGCCAGCAAGAGCCAGAGAGTGGGTCTGGGCTTCAGAACGCTTGGGGGCCAAGACGACCATCCACTGGCTCTGCCAGGCTGTGCAGTCTTAGTGAGGTCACTTATTCCCACCTCGGTTTCCTCATCTGGAAAACGGGTATGATGCATATTTAAATTCTGGCCCCTTGAGCATCCTTGGGGAAGCTGTGAACCCCTCTAAACCTCAGTGGCCCCATCTTTACATCAGGACTTTTTCAACACCTCATAAATATGTACTGGAGTTTCCCCATGTGCAGGCCCTGTCCTAGGTGCTGAGACACAGTGGTGCACAAAACAGATGAAAATCACCACAGCTTGTATAGCAGAACCACCCCCATGCAGGCTCTTGGGACAATTAAAGCACTTGTATACATAAAGCATGTGGCAGAGTGTGTGGCATGCAGTAGGCATGTGATAAATGCACTGTTACTACCACTGTCAGCACCTGGGGAGCTTCAGCGCTGATCAGCTAAGCTGGTGGTCTCCACGTGGCTTCTAGCCACAGAGCAACTTCCAGCAGCATCTTAAGCAGATGCCCCCCAGGTGAGTTAGACAAAAGCAAAACCGCTCTGGTGGAGGGCAGGCAGGGCAGCCCCCAGCTCCAGCCCCTCTCAGCCTCCTGTGGCATCCTTTAGTAAAGCAAGGCTCTTTCAGCCAACCCCTTCCTCTAAAACACAAAAACACACAGCGCCTCAACTTCATTTGGCATTTTACGGATGGAGACAAACCGGGGTGAGGGGACCTGCCGGGATCACAGCAGAGGGAGCCCCGCATGCTCTGTGACCACAGACGATTGTGGGGAAAGTGGCCTGGAATACAGTGTAAAGTAAGACGTGAGAGAGAACCACGGGGGCGCTGAGGGTCTGGGCACAAGGAGCCCATGCTGGCTAGCACGGGTCACCAGCCCCTGCCCTGGCCCTGAGGATCCCCGGGCCTGAGGGAGCACAGCTGCTGTGGGTCACCAAGGCTGAGTCCAAAACCCCCAGATCCCAAGAGGACTCCCAGGGAGGCAGGAGGATGGGCTCGGCTCTCTGAGGTTTCCTACTGGCCAGCTACCCGTGGCCCTGCCTGGGGGTCACTAGAGAAGCCTCGTGGGGACTGAGGAGGTGCTGGGGCTGGCTCTACCACAGGCTCAGAGGCCGGACCTTGAATCCTCCACAAGTCACAGCTCTTTCCTCTCTCCAAAGCCGCCTCCAAATAACCCCAAGAACATGACCTTGTGCTCCAAAGAGCCTGTATCCTCAGGCCAGGGAATCCCAATCAGGGGCTGGCAGGCCAGACCGCGTCCTGGGCTCCACATGACCAGGCTGAGAGGAGCTAGTGGGCAGCATCCTGGCCTAGGGCCTGGAGCCTGGAAGCACTGAAATCCACTTCACCTCGATAGACCCCCCCAGATCATTAAGGGAAAGCTGTGTCCCCAAACTGGGCCTCAGTTTCCCCATCTGTAAAAGAATGCCTGGAGAGGCAGAACAAAGGAAGCATCTTCCTTCTTCTGGGAATGGAAGTTAATCCAGAAATCCCAGACAGGACAGATGAGTAAGGAGGGCAATGCTGGCCATGGCAGAGTCTGGCATGTGGCTGCTCTCTGTCGGGGAGTCCTGGCTGCAGGGGCTGTGTGCCTGGAGGAAGCAGGCTCAGCAGTCCCTCGTCCTGGGGCTGGGGCTGACAGAGGGTCTGCAACACCCTGGGCTGGGGCTCAGGCTCCTCGTCCCTCCCCGGAGCACTCACACAGGCAGGACACAGGGACACCCAGGCCTGGGCTCAGGCTCCTCGTCCCTCCCCGGAGCACTCACACAGGCAGGACACAGGGACACCCAGGCGTGGGCTCAGGCCCAGTCCCTCCCCGGAGCACTCACACAGGCAGGACACAGGGACACCCAGGCGTGGGCTCAGGCTCCTCGTCCCTCCCCGGAGCACTCACACAGGCAGGACACAGGGACACCCAGGCGTGGGCTCAGGCCCAGTCCCTCCCTGGGAGCACTCACACAGGTGAGGCACAGGGACACCCAGGCGTGGGCTCAGGCCCCTGTCCCTCCCTGGGAGCACTCACACAGGTGGGGCACAGGGACACCCGGGTATGGGCTCAGGACCCCGTCTCTCCCTGGGAGCACTCACACAGGTGGGGCACAGGGACACCCGGGTATGGGCTCAGGACCCCGTCTCTCCCTGGGAGCACTCACACAGGTGGGGCACAGGGACACCCGGGTATGGGCTCAGGACCCCGTCTCTCCCTGGGAGCACTCACACAGGTGGGGCACAGGGACACCAGCACGTGGGCTCGGGCCCCGTCCCTTCCCAGAGCACTCATGCAGGTGAGGCACAGGGACACCAGCGCGTGGGCTCAGGCCCCGTCCCTCCCCGGAGCACTCACGCAGGCGGGGCACAGGGGTGCTGGTTGCAGCGCCGGCGGATGGGCTTGGGCCTCTTCCTGTGGTCGCACAGGTGCCGCTGCACCATATGGTGGTCCCGGCGGCGCCGGCAGCCGTATTTGGTGAACTGGATTCCTGTTGGGAGGGCAGGCTGCCATGGGCGTGGTCCCACCAGGCTCCCACTGCCCTGTCCCGGGCCTCAGGGATGGTGCGTTCTGGAGAGCCCAGGGGGCTAGTCCCACTTTCTTGGAGCCTTTGCACCCCCTCCTGCCCAAGTCACTTTCTGAGGAAGCCGTCCTCCACCAGCCCATCTCATGCGTCCCTAGTGTAGTGCAGGCGGGACGTGGCTCTAGACGGCTCCCCCTCCGCACAGCTGGTGAGCCCTTACAGGGCCCGGGCCCTGCCCCAGCCTGCTCTAGCACTCCCAGCCCCATCCCAAAGGCCCTGCCCAGAAAGGCACGAGCTGTGGACACATTAAGTGGGGACAAGGTCAGTCCCCGGCCATTCCTGCTCCTCTCCCGAGAGGCCCTGGGCTGCCCCCACACAGCAGCTGGATGGTCAGGTGGACCAGTACCTCCTCCGCAGGCCTTGGTGCAGGGGGCCCAGCTCTTGAGTGCCCACTCATAGGTGTCTGTCTCCTCCAGGAGCACGTTGTTGCTCCCGATAAGGGGCAGAAGGTCCTCATGGATGATGTACTTGTAGGCCAGGGTGCTGCGGGGCCCACCCTCAGCCGAGGGGAGCACCTGAGGGGAGATGCAGGAGGTGGCACAGGACTGGAGAGCAGAGACGCAAGGCTAGCAGGGGTGCCGGGGAGGAGGGGGCAAAGGGAAGGATGTGAAAAGCAGAACCAGTGAAAGCCAGGAGGGGACTGCACCGAGCGTGGCCTGGGCGGCCATTTAGACCAACAGCCATGTGGCAAAATCAAGCTAGGCACCTACTTTGTGCCAGACCCGAGAACGACCCGCGTTCCCATTGATGATTTTCCCTCCCACAGACCTAAGTTCTAATGAGGGCAGGAACTACGTCTGTTGGTCTGTCCTGCTCGCCAGAGCACCCGCCCTGCCTGACTCTAGAAGACGGTCTGTGATACAGATTCTTGTCAGGTGTTTCCTCCCACTCTGTTCAGGTTGTCTTTTCACTTTCTTGATAATATCTTTTGATGTGCAAAAGTTTTCAATTTCCAAGAAAACCAATTTATTTTTTCTTTTGTTGCTCACGCTTGTGGTGTCATATCTAAGAATCTGAGGTCATGAGACTTATCCCTCTGTTTTCTCTAAGAGTTCGATGGCTTTAACTCCTGTTTCTTTAGGTCCTCAGTCTATTTTGAGTCAGCTTTTGTATATGATGTAAGGCAGGGGATCAACTGCACCCTTTCACATGTGGCTATCCAGTTGTCCCAGCATCATGTCCCCGGGGAATGGTCTTGGCACCCTCACTGACAATCAATTGGCCACAGGCGGTCAATAACTACAGGGTGAGTGGACAATACATGTTGGATTGAATTAATATGCCAACACCAGGCAACAACAGCCTTCAGACTCTGCCCTCCAGGCCCTCCCCTAGTCACAAGGGTAGCACCAGGAATAAAGCCTGTGCAGGGTCTCCCTGCCACCAGCCAGTGCCGAGGGCACTGCAGACAGAGCCCCTCCTGGTCTGGTCTCCTGCTCCACAAGCCCTGGCCTATGGTCTAGGAGAGGGGAGTGCGGGCGGAGGCAGGCCCCAGCCGGGACAGTGGCTCCAGCCCCCTCTCAGGAGGTGGGCAGTGCCAGATGGCAACCCTGGGTCAGCTGCCCTACAGGCCACAGGAAGCCACTCCTGGACTCACTTTTTGGCAACGCCATAATGCAAGCGGACACTGGATGATGCCAGGACGACAGAGGGAAGCAACCCAGGCCCCTCTGGCTCCCTCAGGCCTGTTTCTGACCCTGCATTAGGGAGAACGGACTCCATGTGTGGCGTCTCTTGTCTGACAATCATCTCTTCTTCCCTCCTCACTTGCCATCTGGCCACCCTCAAGCACGGAGGGCACCCTGGCCTTGCCCAGGCTCCTGAAGACACGAGAACAGGAGGATTTCCCCAGGCCTGTGCTGGTTCACCCCAGAGACAGTGAGTGAGGGGACTGGACTGGGACAGCTAGAGGGGGGGCAGGGCCACCGTGTGGGTGGGGCTCACCAGGACGGCGATGGCTTCAGGCAGGGGCCCGCTGGTCCTTAGGCTTTCCTTGGCGTCCTCCACCGCATACTCCCACTCCAGGCCCATTGCCATGAAGGTCTGGCTCGCGGCTTCCTTGCCCTTGGGGTTGAGGATGAAGCTGCCTGTGACCTGGTTCTTCACCGCTGGCCATGGGGAGAGGGTCACACAGATTTCTATTCCCCTCCACAGGAGCACGAGCCAGGCCTCCTTAGGGCTTCAACGCCTTCCCAGTAGGCCCCTTGGGGCTCCTGTCTACCTGTCACTTCTTCACCCGAGCCTTTTCCCAGGCAGATTGGTCACCATACTGCCCCCAACACAGCGTCCCTGCCTCTGGACCCTGGTGCACACCATTCCTCCCACCCTCACTGTCTCCCCTTCTTCATGCCTGACTAATTTCCACCCATATTTAAGGCTCAGCACAATTCTCTCCTCCTCCAGGAAGGCTTCTTTGATTGCCCAGTCTTTAGGGATTTGCTCTCCCTATAACTCCTATGGCAGAGCATAGAGATTAAGAGAACAAGCTCTGAGTCAGATTGATCTGGGGAAGCTACTCAGCCTCCCTCTGCTGCCTGAGTGTTACCATCTGTAAAATGGTAGGGCTGCTGCCCCGTGAGGATCATCACTGTCCCCACCTCCACCTGCCCTGCCGTGGGGCTCCTAGGACAGTTCAAGGAGTTTAGACACGTAAAGAACTAGGCAGGGTGCATGGCATGCAGCTGGCACTTAACCAGCGGGAGGCACCATGACTGTCCTCAGAACAGTGCCTGACGCGAGCACTGTTGGGATAGACGTCCCGACTCTCCCACACCCTGTCAGCGCAACTCCTCCGTCTTGGCGTCCTTGGCTCAGTGCAGAGACTGGCACGGAGTGGGAGCCTTTAAAATGTCCATAAATGTCTGTCCCTTAAAGTCCCCTCCGTGAGTGACTCACAGCTTGTTACTGAAAGGCACCAGGTAGGAGGGGTGCGGGCGGACGCCCCACAAAGGCCCCGTGTCGTGGCCTCGGGCCCTGGAAGCAGCAGGGGCGGGGATAGGCTGCAGCCAGGACGGAGCCGCTGACCCCGGTGGGGAGGGCATCCCCTCCTGGTGCAGATTCAAATGTTCGAGCGTAACTGTCAGAGGAGAGCTAAGGATCCAAAGCTCTGACCGTGTGCTGGCCACTCTGTAACCGCCCCAGGGCGGTCCTCACCTCCCCCCCGCCACTGCCCCCGAGCTCATTGCCATTATTAATCCAGGCAGGAATCAGAGGCTGTGTCCGAGAGGGGCAGCAGTTTCTCCTGGACACACAGTGGACGGGGATGGGCCGGCCTCCCTGATGAGCAGAGAAGGAGGGGAGGCTGGTCCTGCCCGGGAGAGATGCCCCTCATCTCTGATCTCTCTCAGTCCCCAGGGTCTCCAGACCCTCTAGGCTAGAGCTGGGCAGCTCCTCAGGCCGGGTCAGCCTCAGCCCTGCCCACTGCTCTTGTCTGCTCCTCACCTCACAGCAGCTGCCGGCCCCGCCCCCTGGCTGTACACCCTCATTCCAGGAGGTGGCGGGCTAGACTCAGTGGGCTGGACTCAGCGTGGACTCTACCATCCAGGCCCAGCTCAGAGTCCTGGCCTCACCACTGACCCACTCTGACCTTGAGCGACTATCTTAACCTCTGGGTGCCTCAGTTTTCTCAGCTGCAGAATGGGATAACAACAGCCCACATGGATTGCCATGAGGCTCAGACGAGATAACGTATGAAAAGTGCCAGTTCGAGGCCCAGCACAAGGTGGATATTAACAGTGTGACTTCTCTTCCTTTTAAAGAGTCACTGTCACCAAAGTCCAGGAGAGACGAGTGAGTTTGGACAGGGCTCCGGCCTTCACAGCAGGCTGCCGCCTGTCCTGGGCTTCTCCAGAGGGTGCATACCCTGCCAGGCACACACACACAAGGGCACACATGCATACATGCGCCCCTACACACACACATGCATAAGGGCATGCAAACGCACACTCATACACACACACAAACACAGAGCCTGCACATTTTTACTGAGGGCCTGCTGTCTACCTCATACGTGTGTAATTGCACAACCTGAGCCAGCGTCAGGTTTCAATGCCCCATCCAGGTCCTGCAGAGCTCTAACCCCTCAGGGGACTCACCCACAAACCCCACTGAGTGTGCCACCCTGGGCCTGCCCCAGGGCTAGGAGCCTCTGCCCCGACCTCCACGGAAGCCGACCCTCGGCCTAGAGGAGCACTCCCTGCCTCCAGGGGATCAAGGAGCCAGACTTGTGGAGACAGGGGCTGGAAGGGGCTGCTGACCTTATGAAATCTTTGTAGGGGTGCAGCAGGAAGAGTATCTGTAAACTCCACCCTCTCCTTGGAGGAAAGGACCCTTCTCTCCTGCCCCCTCCCCTCCTCAGCCCCCGTTCCAGGGCACCAGTCCCCCAAGCCGACAGGCAAGTGGGCAGGGAGGTGGCCGAGCCAAAGCCCTCCACTCACGTACCCGCAAAGAGCAGTGTGGCTGGCGAGGGCACAGGGCAAGGGGCAGGAGACCCGGGCCCAGACAGGCTCAACCCATGAGCGAATCAGGGCACATGAGGGGCTGCAATCCACCTGGGCCTCAGTTTCCCCTTGTGCCTACTGCCTGTTGGTACTACACTCTCTCAGGTGCCTCTTCCAGAGCAGGTTAGGAACCCATCACAGCTGTACTAATGTGGATGTCCTCTCCAAGGGGCAAGTTCTCCAGGAGACTTTAAAAAAAGTTATTATTCTGATGATAATCAAAAACATGAATGCCAGAATTTTTGTTATATCTGAGCCTGCCCAGAGATGTTATGTTTTGTATTAGTGTTTATGATGAGTTCGTACCAAGCAGTGTGACTTTGGGGCATAATAAACAAGAGGGGCCTCTGTGACATGCCAAGGCCAGGTGACATTGTAGCCCATATGCCCTCTGCAAAGGGGTATGAAAACAGACAAGTGTGGGAGAACCCAGCCACCACCCAAAGTGCAGGCAGCTGCCCACCCGCCCACCGGGACCCAGCTCCAAACCATGTTTATGTGTCTTAAATTCAGATATAATTCACAGACCATACAATTCAGGCTCTTCAAGTGTGCAGTTCAGTGATTTTTACCATAGTCACAAGGTTGTGCAATCATCACCACTATCTAATTCCAGAACATTTTCATCACCCCAGAAAGAAAGCTGAGACCCATTAGCAGTCACTCCCCAACTCCACCCCCCGTCCCACCCCCCAAGCCCCTGATAACCAGTAACCTACTGTCTGTCTCTATGGATTTGCCTATTCTAGACATGCTCATTTTTTTCACTGCCAATTTAGTTTCAGCAAAAAAAGAACACAAAGCAAACAAACAAAAATTCTCTCCCATTACAGTAATTCTCTTAACTTGAATTTTATTGCTTTATTTTGGGGCTCTAATTTTCCATCTGTCTTGGCTGTATAGTTGCACAACTGTTGTGAGCGTAAGGGGTGGACATCTAGTTTAGGGACTATGTGATGAAGCATCATTATAATGAGAATAATTGAAGGGTCCATGTGGTCGACTGCACAAACGGCTCCAAATTCCTCCTGTACCTGTATGTACACCCCTCTGCAGTGTGACTCAGTTTCCCAAGAGAGAGCCTGTTTCTACCCCTGGAGTCTGGGCTTGGCCATGAGACTTGCTTGGGCCAATGGGACATTCAACAAAGCATGACACAAGCTGAGACTGAAAACTGCTTGCACACTGGGGCTGCCTGCTCTTGCCACTCCTGGGGACTATGTGACAGACACCATGTGAATAATCCTGGGCTAGCCTGCTGGGGACATGGCCCTGTCACCCCCATGACCCCAGCCGCCAGTGGTACCAACCAGCTCCCAAGAGACCAAGCAGCAGACTGCATTTGCATGAGTGAGTCCAACGGAGCAGAGGTAGCACCCAGCTGGGCCCAGCCCAAACTGATGGCTGGCAGAAGAATCTAACAAAAAGGTTCTCTGCCATTACTCAGATTTGTGAAATCTTCCCTCGTTAGGATCCTCTCCTCTGTTCTCCCAGCTCCCCAAGCCCGAGGGCAGGTCCCGGGCCTGGCTGCCCCCTCCTGGCACGCCAGCACTCACCAATGCGGTGCGGAGCCTTCTCCAGCTCCTCGATCTGGATGTGCCTGGCACCCGCTGGGATCTGGACCAGTTTGAGAGCTCCTGCGACAGAGGAGGACCCAGAAAAGCAGTGAGCATCCTGAGCCGGTGGCCTCAGTTCCCATCATCCCCCATGACACCCCCCTACCCAGATACCCAGGAACCTCAGTTTCCTCATCCATAAAATAGGAATGGGCCCTTCTCCACGAGGAGCTGTGGGGATCAAATGAGAGGCTATAGCTCCAAATGCTCTATTAACTCTAAGGGGCTCTGTGTGTTGGTTTCTATTATTGCCCACTTTCTTAACCCTCCTCTTCTCTCCTGATTTTCCACCCCCCCTTTCTTCCCACATCTTAAGTCACTGTAGGATTTGGATGAAACAGGCCATGAAGATCAAGTATGGCTGCCCTAGCTCCCCCTGGCCCTCCCAATCCTAGGCCTGGAAACAAACCTTTCTCAGAGCCACCAACCTTGTCTCCACAAGGAGAGGCAAGACAAAGCTGTAACATTCCCAAAGGGGAAATAGATTTAGTTCATACTAAAGTGTAAAGAACTAACATCTGGCCCTTTTCAACAGCAAGTGTGACCAGATCAGAGGTAGGGAGGGAAGTTAAGGAACTCAAAGGTACCAGGAGTTCAAAGCAGGAAGCACTACAGGTTTAAAAAAACGAGGAAAGAGGAGAAAGCAGAGAGGAAAAGAAAATTACCAGTGTAGTCTGGGCCACATCTTCAGACCTGTCTGACCCCTCACTCCCACCAACAGGCCCAGGGCCAAAGAGATAGCCAAGCTCCTATCACAACACACAGCCTAGCAGAAATATGCTTCCGAGCTACTGGGCCCGTTGCAGGCAGCAGTGTGCCTGGAAGACAAGGCGGCCAGCGTAGCTCCTGGCTCGCCAGCTGGGGCAACCTGTGAAGGTCCGGAGATGGGCTCCAGGGCCCCTCTTCCCTGCCCTGAACTGTGGCCTGGCTCAAGGAGGGAGGGCCCACCTGAGGGACGGCTCAGGCTCTAGGAACCCAGCTGGGGAACCCCAGAACCCCAGCCACTCCTGGTCGACGGTCAGCCCCAGCCCGCTCACCTGCCTGCTTGGAGGCCTTGCCCAGCGTCCCCTTCACAGTCCTGCAGTGGGAGTTGTCACCGCCACAGACCCCGCACTTGTCATCAGCCTTCATGGACCCCACCTCCTTGTCACAGCCGACGGGCTGTGGTCAGAGGTGGGGTCAGCAGGAGGAGGCTCCCACGTCCCCACCATCACCCCCAGGTGTAGCCCCCGGCTCCCTCCTGGGTCCCCAGGCCCCAGACACGAGAGGACCCTGGACCGAGAGGCATCCCTAGACAGGGCTCTGCTACAAATTCGCCATGTGACATGGGCAGGTCTTAAACCTGGCCCGCTCCTCTCCCCTCCAATGGGGCTGGCAGTAACCCTGGTCCAGCATCCCAGGGTTATGTTGAGGACTGAGGGGTGTCACAGGTGGGGAAAGTGGGACGACACTTGTCTTCCAGGGAGCAGAAGGGGCAGGTGGGGCAGCTCTCCATCTCCAGCTGCCGGCAGAGGGCGGGTGGCCTGCAGGGGGCACCCACCACACACTCTCCACGGGCACAGATGCTGTATGGGTCCCGGTAGCTGCAGCGTGTTCCATCATGGACCACCTGGTTCATGAAGACCACAGCCCCTGTGTCCTCCGACTGGCAGATCAGCTCACACTTCTGGGCGTCTGTGGGGAGAGGGACCAACCACACTGAGCCCCCAGGTGGGCATGGAGAAAGTGGGCTGGCCCAGGACACCAGTGCACAGCCCATGGAGTGACATCAGCGCATGGCCCACGAAATGACACCAGCGCACGGCCCAGGGAATGACACCAGCGCACGGCCCAAGCAGGAAGCTCTGAGGGCCAGCTCTGGGCAGCGAGGGGAGCAACGGGTGTGGAGCCAGGGCTTAAAATCCCTGTAATGTCACTTATTTATTAGCCAGGTAATCTTGGGCAAATTATCTGACTTCTCCGAGCCTCAGTTCCTTATTTGTTATCCCTGAACCGTAATGATGATGAGAAAAATCAAATGACAAAATAATAATAAGCCAACACTTAGTGAATGCTTACTGTGTGCCAAGCACTTCCAAAACCTTTACACACTCTTGATGTGCAACTTTAAATGCTTTCTGTGAATTAACTCATTTACATCTCTCAAGGAAGTAGGTTCTGGCATTACAGAGAAGGAAACCCAGGACCAGAAAGGTTAAGGAATTTGCTCAAGGCCACACAGCCATGCAATAAGCAGAAGAGCCAGGATTCTAACCCAGGCTGCCTGGCCTTAGTGCTGCTCTGACCCCTGCACACACTTCACCGGTCACACGGATGATGGGGTGTCCTAACACGTCTGTGAATGTTAGCAGGCCAAGTGAAAGGCGGGCAGAAGAGCAGTCTGTGTTTGGGTTTGTAAAATGGAGCAGCACTGAGGGAGGGTGGGGAGTCCTTCCCACGTCTAACAACTGAAGGTTCTCTTCTCTATCCAGGCTATTGACGTCCCCAAAAAGGAGGCTCCAGAGAACATAGAAACACCTGCTGTGTTCTTCAGAAAAAGGGAGGCAGGGGCTTAGCCAACATCCCGGGATTTGTCTAAAAGTGCAGGGAAAACCCAAAGTCCCGCTGCCCCCGCAGCCTCCTGCCCCTCCCCACCCCGTGCCCCTGTGGCTTGTTGGCTTCTGAATGGACCTGCAAGGCTTTCAAAGCAAGCTGCTCCCTCAGCCACATTTCTAAGGACCCGTCTGGCTCCCTGCTCCTGGTGCCCAGGCTCCTCGGACACCTAGTGACATCTTGCCCCAGCACTCAAGTCTGGAGCCACAACATCCAACACCACTTTGGATTTCACACATGGTGGGACCTGGGCCAGGGGTCAAGGGGTGGGGGGCTCCAACCCTCCTACAGACAGGAAGGACTTTGACCTGTCTGCCCCAGGCAGGTGGGTCTCCGGGCAGCCGTGGAAGCCAGCCAACAGTGGCAAGGGAGTAGTGAGCTCCCCAGAGTGGGAGGAATCCAAGCAGAGGGAAGACACTCCCTGCCAGCCTGTTCCGGAGGGGTCTGTGCACCAGCGGGCAATGGACAGGCCTCTGTGGTCCTTTCAAACTTGAAGATTGTCATTCTAAATGTGAGCTGAAGAACTGAGGGGTCCTGCAACTGATACTTTGGAACCAGGGCTACAAAGGGGTGGCCCTGGGCTAAGGAGAGGAAGGGCTGTTCTCATTGCTCCATCTGAGGCTGAGGGCTGTGTGTTAGGGGGTGAGTATCTGTCTTTGGAGGGACCATGGAGAGGCCGGCAGGGGGAGGTGGAGCCAGAGGACGGTTACAGGCCCCTCCAGCCTGAAGGCTTTAAGACACCATGAATCCCAGCCCTTCATGGGCTTCCTTCCCTCTGCCGCTATGAAAGCCATCACTAGAAATGCTCCAAAACAGACAGATGCTGGCACTGGCTTGGTCCCAAAATTCAGACCCTGTGGGTGAGTCCCGAGGCCTGTGTCTGTCCCAGGGCAGCCTGGAGGGGGTCAGTGTGAGGATCCCATAGGCTCCCATCGGCCTGCCTCTCAAATCATTTTCATTAACTGCTAAAACGGCAGCACAATCAGCAAAACCTACAAGCACGGCAGGTCACAGGACCGAGCTTCTTAGGACATTGGTTATGCAAAGCGAGGGGGCTGAGCCTGTGTGGTGCCTTCCCTCAGGGAAGGACATGTCACAGGCACCAGCCCCAACAGCCGGCACTGCCGCCGGCCTCAAGGGCACCCCTGGGTGAAGTGCCCCTTGCTCAAGGCATTTTCCTGGCATCTGCCAGAAAACAGTCATCAGAGTACCATATCAGAGATGGGTCTGATGAGGACGGTGGTCCCCCGAGGTAAACAACACAAGGGGCTGCACAAAGGTCTGTGGCAAGCCTGCTGACTGCAATGTCCCTTCTGGTGTCCCCACTGTCCCTCCACCTTCGCCAGCAGGGGAGGCCCTGCTGGGGAAGACACAGACCCAGCACATGCCCAGGGATGTGGGGGTGGGAGGGGGAGCAGGGCCCGCTCACCGTCATCAGGCTCGTAGGGGACCCAGCTGTGCTTGGCGTTCTGGTGGATATAGTAGGAGTTGCGCTTGGCACACTGCTGGGCCCGGAAGTCCTCGTAGGGCCCCGGACACTCCTCGCTGTTGCAGATCTGGTACTGGAACGTGGGCCCTGAGCACAGGCGGCCTCCATAGGCTGGGCTGGGCAGACACAGAGACCCAGTGACCTTGCTGGCTGGGAAGGCTGGGGAGGGCCAGGCTTCCAACATGGCCACCAGGGGCAAGCTCGGCCTTAATAGAGCAGCATCAAAAGGAGGTCCACTAACTCATAAACTGGAGAGGGACCCCCACTGCTGGGGCTGCTGAGCTCAGAGCCTTCCAGATCCCTCTTGCTCCTTCAGGCACACGCCACCTATTCCACCATGTGGCGGGGCAGGGAAGACAGGAATGACTAACCCTCTCCAACTGGGCTGGAAGGGAAATCAGTCTTACTCATCTGTGTATATTCTTCCAGCTGTTACACAGGGCCTGACAGACAATAGGTACTCAGTAAATGACTCAGCTACTCCTATTTGCATCTGCTTCCATTTAATACCATAATAAACTAAGGAGTGGTAAAGAGACGGACCTGGAATCAGAAGATCTGGCTGAATCTAACCCCAAGTCCTGATTGTGTTTGTCCCCGGGCAAGTGACTTAGTCTTGCTGTACCTTAATTTCCCCTTTAAAGGAGGGACCATAAAATGTATTTTATCTGCCTCCCAGTGTGCCTGTGAAGAATAAATAAGAAAAGCTATTTTAAAGCAATCTGTACTCTCTCCTCCAGTAGGTTAGAGGATTAGGTAAGATTATGGATACACAGTATCCAAGCCGGTCCTGCTCAGACAGCCGGGAGAAGTACTGGCTTACACACACCACGGCGCTTACACACACCACCCGCTTACACACACCACGGTGCTTACACACACCACGGCGCTTAGCGTCCCACCTGGCACAGAGCAAGTGTTCCATACGCTGCAATAATTATAACAGCAGCTGCTATTTATTAGTGCTTAATCTGTGGTGGGCATGGTGCTGAGAACACACATATTATTTCATTTAAGCTTCATAAAATAAAAAGTTACTATTACAGAGGACTTCAATAAATGGAAATAACAATCGTCATGACTGGAAGGTGGTTTTCTCAGTGGGCACCGCTGGGCCTTTCTCTAACTCCGGCTTTCATACCCTCATCAGGTGGAAGTTACACGGCAGTTCATTTTGGCTCGTATTTGTACAAGGCCAGTATAGCCACCTGACACAGGATCAAGCTGCTCCAGGAGGTAGTGAGTTCCCCATCCCTGGAGGTAAACAGCAGAGTATGAAGGACCACTCCTGAGGATGCTAGAGGGCAGATGACCACCACCGAGCCGCTGCGCTCCTAGGGCCCTGCCGTTCTGCAGTCCTCATCAGCTCACTCAGCGCCATGAGGGTGGGCCAGGCCCTGCCCCACAGAGGGGCAGAATCCCTCGTTCCTGGAGGCAGCCCCACGTGGCCGACCCCGGCCGGCCCCGGTGTCTCATGAAGCTCCTTAAGCAGGTGCTTCAGCGTGAGAGATGGAGGCCATAGAGAGCTGGTGCTCCAAAGTTCCAAAACCATGGGAGGGGATGCCATAGAAGGGATAACAAGGGAGAAACGGACTGCTTCCCCAGAATGCTGAAATTTGGGAGGGGGTGGTGAGAGACGGGATTTGACTATAGGAAGAGGTAAGTTAAGAAAAATTAAAGGATGTTTTGCTTCATGTGGTAGAAAAAAAACTTGGGGAATTTATTCTCCCAAGACATGGCCATTGAACACTTAGCTCAGGGTTTTCTCAAATTTAGCTGGAGGATCAGGATCATGGCAGGGCTTGTTAATCTGGCAGAGTCCTGGGCCCACCCAGCCTGTGCGGGCAACCTTCAGGACACGAGAGTTTGCAAATCACTGGTTCAGACCCATTCTCAGATGGCAGACCCAGCCAGAAGTGACCTGGCCCCCCAACAATTTTGTGTCCTCATCCATTAGAATACATAACCCCTGCAGGGGTCCTCCTCTTGTGCCCCACCCCCCAGTGCCTTCCCCTCCAAGCCCCTCAGGCCTGGAAGCGGGGTTCCCTGCCTTGCCCACCCCAGCCAAGCACACTCACGGGGGATTATCACAGCTCCGGCTGCGGGATCGAACCCCGCCCCCGCATGACCGCGAACATGACCCAAACGTGGTCCAGGAGCTCCAGCCTCCATCCTGGCCGTAAGTCTGCTCCAGCGACTTCCAGATGCAGTGACCTTTGAAGCACCACTGGGATGGAACAGAGGGCATGACATCACCCTGGGGCCACTGCTGCCCTGCCTGCCATGGAGGGTGCCCAACCAGGCACATGGCACAGCTGGTAGGCACCATGGTGAGCCCAGAGAAAGGGTCGTTAAAAGCACAAGCCTTGGGGTTACACAGAATCCCCCCCACCATGCACTGAATGACCTTCAGCAAAGGACTCCCCTTTCTGAGCCTGTTCTTCAACTGTGCGACGTGATGAAAGCACTGTCCACAGAGCTGCTGTGAGCATTCAATGAGACAACACCTGGCACATACAGCCCTCCAAAAACGGCAGACGGTATTATTAAAGATGATAATAACTGTGCAATTATTTGCTTCACTTTTCCAGGAGAAATAAAAGCCTGATAGAGGAGAGAAGACACAATTTTCCCACACTATCTAGAGTTGATCTTGGCTGTACCTCGAAACCACCATCCAGGGGCCACAAGCAGGTGTGCTTGTGGGAGGCAAGCCAGCCACATGGGGAGGTCCGTCCATGTGGTGGAGGGACTGTATGCATCGAGTCCAAGAGGCCTGGGTTTGAACCCCAGCTCAGCCTTTCCCAGCTGTGTGTGGCTTTGGCATAACTTCACCTTGCTGAGCCTCAGTTTACTCACCTGTTAAATGGGACTGTTCTAAGAACTGACAGGAATAACAAAGGCCTGTGCACAGGGCCAGGCACAAAGTAGGCCTCAACCAAACAGGGAATAAATACAGCAAAGCTCTCTGTGTCCTTTTCAAGACATAACTCAGTGGTTCCTAGCCACCCTGGGGAACTTCAAAAACTCCGGATGCCTCAGCTTTACCCCAGACCAACTGAGTCAGGATCTCTAGGCATAGGGAATTTTTAACTAAGCTTGTAATTTTTAAAAGAAGCAGCAGAGCCAGCCCCTTGGCCTAGTGGTTAAGTTTGGCACGCTCTGCTTCAGCAGCCCAGGTTTGGTTCCCGGGTGCGGAATTACACCACTCATCTGTCAGTGGCCACGCTGTGGCAGCGACCCACATACAAAATAGAGGAAGACTGGCAGTGGATGTTAGCTCAGGGTGAATCTTCCTCAGGCGGAAAAAAAAAACAAAGAAGAAGAAGCAACATACTTTGTATACCGTAAAATTCACTCATTTCAAGTGTACAAGGCAATGATTTTTCATAAATTTACAGCATTGTGCAATCGTCACCACCATCCAATTTTGGAACATTTTCATCACCTCAGAGAGATATCTCGTGACCATCTGCAGTCACTCCCCACTCTGGGGGTAGGGACTTTTAAAGCTCCCCAGACGGTTCTAATATGTGGCCAAAATTGAGAGCGGCTGATTAACTGTTACATGAAATTGTGATACGACAGGGCCTGGGACTTTGAAAACACCCGGAGCAGGTGTACCAGTCTCCAGGATAATAGCACGGCAGGGTTGGAGCCCGCGGGCCTGTATAAGGCCATGGGAAGCCCCATCCATCGGTGAAGGGACAGACTCTACACCCCTGTAAGTGGGAGGAGCCTGGTGAGGGCAGAGGGCAGAGGGCAGGCTGGTGGGGGCAGGTCCCCAGGCTGGGATCCCAGCTGATGCTGAGCCATCATCACGCCTCTCAACACTGCTTCTTCCGAGCTCTCTCATTTGCTTTGACGTGACTCAGTGACTTCAGAACAACCCCGAGGGGTGGGAAGGATGCTTGGTCAGAGGTCAGGAGGAGTTCAGTGAATGGCCCAAGGTCACCCCACAGCGATCACGGCAGGGCCAGCAATAGAGCAGAGGTGGGGTTCACACCCCAGCCCAGGGCTCTCAGCCGCAGCTATGATGTCCCCTGACAAACAAAGCCCTGCACCCACACACGCGTGAGGGAGCAAACAGACAGGGAAATGCGTGACAGGGCAGGTCTGGGGGAGGAGGCCTCGTCCTCCACATCTGTAGAATGGGAGTAAGCACTCCGGCCGGGTGGCCTACGAGATAGTGCCAAGCTCCATAAACTGCAGAAGCCACGGAGTGTGAGGTGGGAGAGAGGGAGGGTGTGAGTGTGTGTGAGTTCACCTGCGGCCTCCGTGCACATCTACCTCACACGAGGCTCGCACCTGTCCTCCAGCACCGCCCACCACATTCATATACACACTAGGTGGGGAGGCAGGGGTTCTCCTGAGACCTGCACTCCAGGAAGCCACTCCTGCTGTAGACCCCGGGCCCGCAGGTACCTTGCCTGGCTCGCACTCGGTCCCATCCAGCGGGGGCCCCTTCTTGGTCTTGCAGAAGTATGGGTTGTCAGGGTGGCTGCACCACAGCTGTTTGCAGGGCTCAAAGGTCCTGAACTGCGTGGAAGGGGAACAGGGTCACAGGGCAGGACTAGCTCTCCAGCTCTGACAAGTTGTCCAGGGTGCAAAGGGCAGGGACACAGAGAGAGAGGAGGGTGGTGGACACTGGGCCCAGAAGACTGCGAAGAAGGTAGGAGGGGACTGTGCAACCAGAGCCGCACACATCCTCAAGCTCCACCCTAGCCCAAGTGCCAGTGGCCTCCAGCGCCCCCTCCTCTCTCCAACAGGGCACAGAGAAGAGGGGCCCAGGCACAGCCCTCACCCCCTCGTCTCCCTCCCCAGGCCTCCCTCCCCGCCTTTGCAGAAGCCACTGTGTGACTGAGTGCAGACTAGGGTTTGAGGCTCTAGGGAGGCGGGGCCCACCAATGCCCCCTGAGTCCTGTGCACGTGGGGGCATCGAGGGGCCTGCCGGTCTAGCTCAGACCTGCAGCACCCAGACAAAGTCAGCACTCCATCTCCCTCCAATCTCACCAGCCTGCCAGAGGCTGGTGACCTTAAGTTTCCAATTGTCTAGGAAAGCCCCAATTTCCTTTTCTCTTCTGTCATCCGTGCCAGCCAGACAAGTGTCCTGCAAATACAGCACTGGGGCATTGAAACCCCCTATCCCAGGCTGTTCCCCGACTCGCAAAGCAGAGACCATGTGTCCCACTGTGCCCTGGGCAGTGGAGAAGGTGACCACGTGCAGGGCCTCCTGGTTCTATAGAATGGAGGGGGGTGGGCTGCATTCCTGGGTAAGGGGCTTGAGGCACTCAGGTCACCAAGGCCTGCCCCATCAGAAAGTCCTCTGCCCCAGGATGTCCCCTTCTCTGAGCCTCCACCTGGGCCCCAGTTAGCAGCTGTTCAGTTCTCTCCTGGGTGGCTCTTGCTGGCAGCCAGGCCCCAGGTTCTCCCCTGCCCTGTCCTGCAGAGTAGGGACAGGACTATGCTCTTCGTATCCATCTCCCAGGCATGGGAGAAAGGGAGCATGGAATTGACCCCCTGGAGAGAGGAATGTGCGGGCACAGGAGAATTTCACTAGGGTGGGAAGTCAGCCCCAAACCCCTGAAGAGCAGATGGTGGCAACTATTCCTTTGCCAGGCCAGAGCCCAGTGCCTCATCTGACATGCGGACTGCCTGGCATTTAAGCCCCTGGTGACCAGCTCAGCCAGGATCCCATTGGCCATCTGCCCTCTGTTTTACTCTGTTCCCATCTTTTCCAGGGCTGAAGTGTTCTCTAGCCACTGCACACATCTGCCCCCACAGGTGGGACTGGGCAGGGCAGGTATGTGCAGAAGGTGGTAGGGCCTGGGCCCTGGTCACCCTGCATCCCCCCATGGTGGCTGGCACTGAGGCTGCAGGCCCACCACAGGGCCACCTGGCTGGCAGGGCAGACGGTGCTCTGTGACTGACCAGCCTGGGTCACAGAGGACACGGCCTGGCGCCCCGGCTGGCAGAGGCCGGTGGAGACTCACCACTGAGCAGGTGTGGTACCCAGTGCCAAAGTCGAAGCGGCACTGCTCGTCCATCGAGTAGTCGATGCCGGGCAGCTCTGGGGGCCGGGGCCAGGCGGGCACAAAGGGGTCATCGAGCAGGCAGTCGTAGGAGCTGCCAGTGGAGACCGGGAGGTGAGCCAGGCGGAGGCAGGAATCCCTTAGCTCTCCATTCCCGGGGCTGGGAAGGCCTGCAGGAGTCCACCCACTGCTCCGCGCCAGGAGCTGCGTATTCTGGGGACAACGGCTGCCCTGGGCCCCACTCACGCAGGACCTCGCTTCCACCAACGCGTGCCTGGGGTCAGAAGCTCAGCCTGTAGCTGCCTTACAGGGCCAGTTTTGCCCACTTTAGAGGGACACGCTATGGCCAAGAGCAAGGGCTGGTTCATGGACAATTTGAGGGCTCACTGCACTGAGGGAAGAAGAAAAGTCAGCCCGCCATGCAGAACATATGCTGGGCCAGCTGCCACATGAGGTTAGTGACAGTACCTCTGCGCGTACCTGCCCCATCCAAATCCACTCTGCGCCCAATCTCGGCCTTGACCCCCAAGTCTAATGCTTGTCCTGGGCCTCCACATCCCTGGAGCCCCAGGAGCCAACTGGCAAAGCCAGGAATTGAGCGTGTGTCACGGGCGGGATGGTGTTGGGAGGGGAGGTGACTTGCGGGAGATGGGTAGCAGTGTGACCTCTGCGTGGAGTGGCGGCACGCTCCCCGTCCCAGCCCCCAGGGCAGAGGCGACCTACGGGAGGTAGCGGCTGAGCTCCAGCTTGCTGCAGCGGGACCAATGGAAGCGGTGGAAGGCAGCCTGCACCAGGGGCGCCATGACGCTGCCCAGGCTGGTCTCATCTGCGCAGCCATTCCCCTGACCGTCATGCTCCATGCCGAGCCTGGAGGGTGTGGGAAGACAGAGGGGAGCCCTGAGTCATGCTCAGGGAGCCCGCCCCGGGAAGACAGGCAGGCAGGCCAGCAGTGGGAGACCCTGCCCTGAGCAGGCTTCAGACTGCACCTCCTGGCCTCAGTTTCCTCACCACGCAGCGGAGAGGACCACCCCTCTCGATGGAAGCTGAAGCCCCACCCTGACCCCCAATAGGGCTGGACTCATTCTGTCCTCCTGCCCCCTCCTCAAACTCCACTCACATCCTCACAGCTTCCAAGCCCAGCTCAAACCCCACTCCTGCTCCAGGGGACCCTCCCTGGCCTCCTAGCTCATGGGCTGACCTCCCACAGCAGGGCCACCTGTATCATCACTAACAACTCGCACGCCAGGCACTGTCTTCCCACCAGACCCAAGGCCTTTGGGTACAAGGACCAGGTCTCCTTCAGTTCAGTTCAACCCCATTTGCTGAGTCCCTCTGGGCCAGCCTCTTAAGCTGCTCCAAGACCCCACTGTACTTAGCACAGAGCTTTGCACATGGTGGGCACCTATTACAATGACAGCTGAAATTTTAAAGTTGTCTTTGTAGTTAGTATTCAACGCCAAAACCCAAAGGTTCTAAATTCTTAAATACTCCAGGTGGCTGCAACTGGCCTTGACTACTCAACACACGGGCTTCTAAGCTTGACCTTGTCCCTCCAGAGGGAGGGGCCCCTGCTCAGTGAAGAGTGGACACCCCCTGCCCCCACATACAGGAAGACAAACTCCTGGCTCCAGAATATGTAGAACCACTGGCTTCCGGGGCAGGAAGAGACCTCGGAGGTTCCCTGGGGCCAGCCTCTCTGCACAGATGAGGAAACCGAGGCCCCAGAGAGGAGGCGCACCTGCCCGGGAGGGGCAGAGTTGGGATGAAGTCTGCATGGGCTTCCTGCGCTGGTGGGGTTGATGAGGAGATGGGTCCGGCAGACCGTGGACGGCAGACCCGCCCGCTGGGGCTGGCCCCTCCTCTCCTTCCCATGCCCTGCAGAGAGCAGCTTCCCTCTGTGCGACAGCGGGGGCGGGGGTGCACGTCCCTTAGCTCTGCCCCTGTGCACAGACAAGGCACGACCATGGCATGTGCACATTGCCACCTGACACGTTGGACAGAGGCTTATTTGCTTTTTCCCGGCTTCTAGAGCTCTTCTCTGTCCTGATCTCCTCTGTAGCCCCATTCCTAGAATAGGGCCTGGCACACAGCAGGTGCTCAAGAAATACAGGTTGAATGAATGAATGAACATGCTCTAGACAAAATCCCAGCCCAAGGACCAAGCAAGCCAGCCTCCAGCCCGGCCTGTGGCCTGAGTGCCAGTGCACTGCTTATGGTGGGCTCAGGCCAGCACTCCAGTGTGTGACGAGTGCCAGCGCAGGCTGGAAGGGCTCTCAGAAGGGCCTCGAGGAGGGGATGGGATGGAGGGGCAGAGACTACCCAGAGAGCACACTGCCTACCACGGGACACTGCCACTGACCTGCCCACAGGCCGGCCCACATCTGGGCCCCCAGGCACAAGGCAGACCCAGAATTGCTCGGGTAGTCCTGGGCCCCTGGGTTCCCTCCCCACCAGCGCAAGGCCTCGCTGCAGGGTAGCTCCTCTGGCATCTCCTCAGACACTGGGACAGGAGCCCAATTTGGGGCAAAGCCTCCCACACCCACAGACATCCTGGGAGCTCACAGCACAGCCAGCCCTCTTGGTGCCACTTACACGTGGCCGGTCTCATGGGCCACCACGAAGGCTGAAGAGAAGCCGTCCTCGTGGTTAAGAGCACAGCTTCTCAGGGGGTGGCACATGCCAGTGACAGGTGCATACCCTGCCGGGAGAGGAAGAGAGGTCAGAGAGAGAGGTCATGCACAGGTGAGGTAGGACACAAGGTCTGTGCCCTACCGGCCACTGCAGGGACATCCTGACTGGTCACTGCCGGCGGGTCCCTGGAGGAAGAAGGATCCTTGCAAAGTACCCCCGCAGTGGAACAGTCTGGGCCAAGCTGCCCCCACATCCTAAGGCTTCCGGCTTCCCTCTCGGCCTGCAGCTTCCCTGTGCCTGTTAGAAGGCAGCAGGATTTCCAGACAGGGCCCGAGCCTGCGCACACCTGACTCCCATGCCTCGTCCCTCCAGCCAGCCAGTCAGTTAGTCAACAAACAAGCTCCAAATGCTTTCTAGGTGGGGGTAGGGGTGGCATAGTGTTAGATACTATGGGGAAAACAGAGGAATCAGGTCAGAGCCTCCCATCCCCCAACCTACAACACCCCCACACTTAGGGGCCCACGGCTTAGCAGGGACAAGGGTCAGGAGGTGAGTTACATGTGTGCCTGCAGGGCCAGAGTTCAAGGAGCGCAGCACGGAGAGCAGGGGTGATCTGGAGGAAGGGGCGGGTTTCAACTGAAGGGGCTGAAGGGACCAGGGAACGACTTATGGGGCACAGAGCTGGGCCTGGAGGACAGGTGAGACAATTCTCTGGAGGTGGAGAGACGGCATGTGGGTGTGGAGGACACAGGCAAGGGGGCAGGGCCCAGAGAGCCATGGGCAGTGCAGGAACAGCGTGGCCCACGTGTACCAGGCAGCGCTGGTGCGAGGCCTGTGTTCTCAGGGGCCTGCTTTCAAGACCCACCCTGGGGCCCTGGTATGGGCTGAGAGGGTAGAGGGCCCGGGAACACACCCAAGGAGGGGTGAGGTAGCTCGCTCCTGGCGTGAGTTCCCTGCTGGGCCTGCAGCTGACCCTTCAGGACTGCCAAAGTGCTCTTTCATTGGAGAGGGTCTTGGGGGCACAATGAGAGGCTGTAGGGGAGCAGGTTTCTTGGGCCTCCAATGTCCTGGAGGTCTGAGATTTGCCTTACCTGGGATACAAGTACACACATGGGTGTATGTTTGTGTGTCTGTGCATGTGCGTCTATGCAACCTGTCTATGCTGCAGGTTGCTGTGTTACATGTTTGTGCATGTACATGTGTATCTGTGCAGTGTATGCATGTGCTTATTGATACATGTGTCTATGTGTGCATGTACATGTATGTCCATGTGTCTGTGCATGTCTATCTGTACGTAGGTGTATCTGTGTGTGTGCATGCAAGTGCACATTGGGGGCTTTACGGATTCAGCAAGGAGCTCTTTGGGTCGAGGCATGGCTGCCAGACTCATTCCTAACATCGAATCAGAAAAAACTAGAAAGTCCTCAACTTGGAGCCTGGAGATCTAGTCTGAGTTTCAGATCTGTCTCTTCTCTGCTGTGGGACATAGGTGAGCCTTTTCACCACGATGTGCCTCAGTTTCCCCACATGGAAAACGGGGAGTGGTCAAAGCCTCCTGTGTTTGGAGAGCACTCACAGGCACACTCCGTCACAGACATTCCATGCACTCCTTGGCCCTTGCAGCAGCCCTGGAAGGAGGGAGGCTGCTATTTTATTTGCCCCATTCGACAGCTGAGAGATCACAGGCAGATGAAGTGAGCTTGGATCATCAGGCTCCAGAGGCACGGAGCTGGGGGCAGAGCACAGCCTTCCTTTCCGAAGTCCATACGGGCCCACCCTGCTGCCCCCCAGCCTGCAGTAAGGACAGATGGATGTGGCGTGGGCAGAAGCATCTTGAAGATCGCTGAGGGGTCTCAAGCAGCCAGCCTCTGGGATGGGAAGCACAGAGCCTGGGACCTGACCACTCACAGCTGCCCACAATCTTGGCCCAGACAGTAGGGACCATGGCGGGGACCCCTTCACTTCCCCTGACCCCCGGGAAGCCATTCCAAAGCTCGCTCACCCATCTGGCCAGGTCCTGTCTCCAAAGTCCCATGGACCTTTTTGCTGCCAGGGAACCCAGCCGCTCAAACCTCCCTGGGGTGGCCCCGGAGAGAGCGCAGCCCTGAGCCTCGGCTTCTGCCCTGCAGCTGCACACACCTGGCCTCTGCAAGTACAGTACCTGGCATACCTGAGGGCCCAAAGTCCTGCCGGGTGAGGAAGATGACATGGTCGTGGTGCTCTGCATGGTCGGGGTCCTGGCGCTGCTGAGAGTGTGCCCAGCGACACACCTGCTCCAGGCTGCGCGAGGGGTTCCCACGCTCAATCAGGCTCAGGGACTGCGGGGGCCGGAGAGCATCAACAGCGGAGCGGTGGGTCGGAGCCCCCAGACCACAGCGGGCACCCGGCGCTCTCTTCCCACTGGCAGAGAACACCAAGGCCCACGGACTGCAGCGCTGGTCCCAAGGCCACCAGCCGTCCCAACGCTGGCTGCTGCTGGCACACAGCCCTCCCACTTCAGGGGATGTTCGGGTGCCAAGCCCTGGGCAGGGACACCCGTCAGCTGAGAACTCAACACACATTCTCTCTAATCCCTCGACTAACCTGCCAGGCAGATGCTGTCCAGAGCATTTCCTCTACACTTACATTCATTGTCTTATCTAATCTTCAGAACAGCCCCTAGAGGAAAGCTCTGTTGTGACCCCCGTCTTGGGGAGGACAAGCGACTGGTCTAAGATTGTAGAGCCCAGGGCCCCAGGGCCCCACCCTACCAGGACTTGTCTTGGTCGCTGCCCCTCCCTAAGCCCCACTTTCCCCATCGATTCCTCAAGGACCAGGACCTCCAGCTATAAGGGTACAGGACTGTCCATTTATCAGATTAGAGGGAGCCCTTAAGTCCTCGCTTACCAACCCCAAATGCCTCTGCCACTGAAGCCTCAATTCTAATGGTCTCAGGGCTCTGATTCCAGAGACAAAATGTTTCCTAGATGCCGTCCCCCTCCCCCACGCTGTAGCTGCTCCAATGCACTGGCCCCACACCCCTTGTCCCTCCACACCCCGCCTGCTGACAAGGCGGTTTACCTGCCGGTAGCCAACCATGATCAAGCGGACAAGGGCAATGTTTATGTGGGCTCCGAGGGACTCATCGTGGTAAATCTCATCCACCTGAAAGAGAAGAGCATGCAGTTTTAGGGGAAGTAAATGTTCGTTAAGGGCCTACTGTATGCCAGGTACTGGGCCAGGTACTGGAGAGAGGTAAAATGACCCGCCCAGGACGTGCAGCCAACGAGCAGCAGAGCTGGGCTCGAATCCTGGCTGCCTGACTCCGACCCTGAGCTCTCCCCACGAAGCCCAAGTGTGCAGGCGTCTGGTCTCAAACTCAGCAGCTCTGACCAACTCTCGCCTCTCTACATCTCTGAAGAGCCCTTACAGAAATGTCACCTGGCTCAGATCCCTCGTCCTCACATCCCTGCACACCTTTTCAATTGCCACCGCAATCATCTGTCTGGCCTGTCGGGCCGGGCACTGGGGAGGCAGGGGCAGGCGCTCCTCCAGGGCAAATCCAGGGGGAAAGTGCTGGGACCAGCAGCATCAGCATCACCTGGGGGCTCACTGGGAAGGCAGAGCCTCAGGCCCAGCTCCTGGGTCAGAGTCTGCATTTGAACAAGATCCCTGGTGATTCTCAGGCTCGATCACGTCTGAGCATCACTGCATTGGCTACTCCCTCTCCCACCGGCCCAGGGACCTGTGGGGCAGTGCCTTGCACGGTTCATCAAAGCACGCAGTCCTATCTACTCCCCTACTCAGGAAGCCCCAGAACAGTGTCCATGACAGGTGGACACAGCCTCTGCCAGTCCACCCCCAAGGACAGGGAGCTAGCCCGCTCCTGAGGATACCCATCTCCTGAGCTGTCCCATTGGACAACTCCAGGTTTTTTGCTTTAAATAACTTTTTTTTCTGAATATAAAACATTTCACTCTAAAAACTTTGAAAAGTACAAAAAAAGTAAAAGAAGAAAATTAAATCACCTCCCCTACTATTAGCCAGATACATAACAGCCACAGTTAACACGCTTCCTGCTCTATGTGTGTCTCATTTTACAAAATTGGAATCACACTGAATATACTCTTTGCATTTCGCTTGTTTCATGCAACATTATTCTGTGTGTTTAAAAGTATCATCTCCAGTGTCTGCATGGCATGCGCCACCACTTATGTAACTAATCCCCCAGTTGGACATAACCCCAGAGAGAAGTGATTTGTCCAAGAGGAGAAATGACTTGCTGAGCGAGTCAGTGTCAGTACACAGCACTAGTGGAGCAATGCAGCTCCTGGGAGCCAGAGTTCTGGTTCAAATCCCAGCTCTGTCGCTTTGGAGCTGGGTGGTCGGGGGCAAACCAGGTAATTCTTTAGAACCTCCGTTTCTGTCTCTTAGAACAGGGATCATAATGGCTGTCGTGTGGACGTCTCACGCCAACTCCACATCTGGGAATGATGAGTGAGCCACACAGGCAGACAGGCCCCAGGCACCGACAGTGATGGAGACAGAAGTGGAACCCAGCCTCTGACTCCTGCCCGCACAGCTTCCCAGGAGCCGGGATAGAGTTTCACGCATGGCCCTGTTCTCACCACTTTCGTCCCTCTATGCCCTTCAGCTCATGAGCAAAGTAACCAGCCTACAACCCACACGGGGACTGCGGTCCAGCAAACCCAGAGGAACCAGGCGGCCAGCCCCACATCTGAGAGCCCCCCGGGAGAGGAATCCAGGAGGGGAAGCGGAGGTCTGCTCCTGTGCCGACACAGCCCTCCTGGGCCAGGCTGTGGGGGCCGAGCTGCGGCAGCAGATGCTGTATGCACCGTGGAGCCCCAGCCCGCCTCTCCCAGTGCCCAGAACAGGCAGCTGCCCCAACTCATGAGCAGGCAGACTTCAGAGCAGCCAGCATCAGGCTTCCACCAGGGTCTGCCTGGCACCCACGTCTGGACCCAACTGAGATGGAAGACCAGTGCCCCCTGTGGGACAGCAGGCCTCCCCAACACCCCGCCACACGGAATGGTGGGAAGTCCAACAGGCAGCAGCTCTTCCTCCCACCGGCCCCCTCTCCCCAGCAGGAACAGAGACATCATGGGAACAAGTGCTCAAATACATAAAGAGATGTCCTTCTCAACCCGCACACCCTTGACTTTCCTAGGAGAACTGCGGGCTGGAGGGGCAGGGGTCCAATCAGCCACACACACATTTTCTCCCCAACAAATTCCAACCTAAGGATTCTTCGCTGATCTGCTGACATGACTGCTGATCTGCAATAGAAAGACTCCTAACTAACCCCGACGTCTTAGCCCCTCCAACACCAGAACTTGGCCTTCCTTCTACACAGGGGTGGGGTCGGTGTCTCAGACCACCCTGACATGCCCTGTAGGCACGTAGACCAAGGGTGGGGTCACGGGTGACGCACATTCCACACAGCCACACCGCGCCCCACTACACATGTATAAACCACGGCCGCCCCGAGGCAGGGGAAGAGAGCAGGCACTGGGAAACAGGTGGGGGCATCTGCAGGGCCCTGGGCGTAGCGAGTGACCAGGGCCACTGCCTTCCTGCCCCGTCTCTCTCCAAAGTGGACCAGGTGGAGTGCTGCCAGAATCCTGCCGTATTACTCATTTCTATCCCCGCACGCAGCAGGCCAAACCCCTATCAAGGCCTCCAGTGACCCCCGCTCCCCTGCTCCATCTCCAGCCCAGGACACTGGGAGGTCCTCACGGTGGGGCTGGGGAGGGGGCTGCCGCACTCTGAGCAGGAGGCAGAATCAGAGCCTGAGTGTCCAATGCTGATGGGGTTGAGTGGGACCTCGTGACGCCACCTCCCACTCCCAGGTAACTGGCCTCAATGCAAACACTGAGCAAGCAGAAAGGGACACCCCATCTGGAGAGACCACTCAGCACCCTGAAACAATCCCCAAAGGCTTCGGGCGACTGGTATATGGAGCTCTGCAGCACAGACTCCCTATGCCACCCCCCAGGAGCTGAGGGAACAGATGGTACACGTGTGGGCAGGAGGGGTCAGGGAGGTCTCCCTGGAGGACCGGCAGGATCTCTGGACTAAGAAGGTTGTGGACCCTTCGGAGGAGATGGGCAGAGGCTTGGTGCAGGGGAGAGGAAGGCAGGAGCCATGTGGAGCCACCAAGAGAGCCCCGAGGTCATTGGCAATCAAGGTAACTGAGGCCAACCCCCATGTGATGGGGACTTTCTTCCCAGCCCACGCTCACACACCTCTAGCAATGGGGAGCTCTCGGCTGTTAAAATGTCCTCAGTGCCATAGGCCCCACTCAGCCTTCCCGTCCACCTCCTCCACTGGCCTCAAGTCTCCCTCTTGAAGTTTCACTGAGCACATCTGCGCCATTCCTGGGGACAGATGGTGACCACAGTCTCTCAGGGACTTCTCCAAGCTCACATCAGTCAAGGAGAAAATCTCACACGCAGCAAGAGAGAGAAGCCAGATCATTTAGCAAGGAAGCACCATTGGGTTGGGAGCAGGGTTTCAACGTAACAAGGGGGACACTGAAGTGACACCACCAAAGCACCAAGATAAAGGAACTGTTGACCCAGAATCCTGGGCCCAGCAAACTCTCTCTTAAGAACCATGATGAAATGAAGACGTTATCAAGTAAGCAAAAACTGAGACAGTTTCACAGGACCCACTAAAGGATGCGCAGGAAAAGAAGATGGAAAATGATCTTGAAAAGGACACCTAACCCACAGGAATGGATGAGTAGTTTTGAGGCTGTGATACAAGCAGGGTTCAGCAATGAGAGACAGTCTGATCTTTTCTTATTCTGAACAAGGATAATAAAGTAGCTCTTTACTCCCTTATTCTCCCAATTAAAACAAGTGGGGCTGGCCCTGCCATTCCAAGTCCCCTAGTCCAGCCCACCTCTGGGGCCCTGGCACAGTCATCTGCACACACCCCTGTTACCCCCAGCCCTTGAATAGGGACCTCAGTGGCTCTGATTCAGCCGGAGCTGCCCAGAGTCTTTGCCCAGGCCAAAGAGGTGGCTGGCCAGGGCTGCCATGTCCAGCCAGAACTGCAGAGGCCGCCTGGCACATGAGTCCCATCCACAGCCTGAGCCGGTGCTGGAGCCCCAGCCAGGAGTGCAGCGCCCTGGGAGGCCAAGGACCCCAGCCCCGTGGAACACACAGGCAGCTCGCTGACAGGCTCCAGGGCCTGGCTCTGTCAGCTCTGCCCTCCACGCTCCCTCTCAAATGCCAGAGGTGAGGCCGCGAACCAGCTCAGAGGAGGCCAGGAGTTGCTTCTCACGGTGGTGGGCACAAGCATGGCAGCGGCAAGACACATCCACAGGGCGGAAAAGAATAGTGTGTCTAGTCTCCTTGCTTCCTCACCTCAGACAATTTCCATGTCATTTGCAAAGAGCCCCCCACCCCAGGTTAGGGTTCGGCATGACACATTGGCCTGGGATGCCACTGGATGCGCACCAGAAAAAGAAGGAAAATTCAGGACTTTCTCTGGCCCCAGGGAGACAAAACAGCAGAAGGGAGAGGATGCTAGAGCGCACCAGAGCTGGGGGAATGAGCTGCTGGTCACCAAACACAACCATGTGCCAGGCCCTGTGCTGAGCACTGTGCAGACAACCTCACAGCAGCCGCATGGAGAGAGGAACTATTCCCTTTTCATAAGCGAGAAATCCAGGGCTCAGAGAGGTTAACTTGCCCAAGGCCACTCAGCTGGGAAGTGGGAGGGCCAAGATTTGAACTCAGATCTCTGTGAATCTTAGCCACTAAATGCTGCTGCTCTCCAGAACCAGCTTCTGTGGCAGGCTGGCGGGGGTGGGCTTTCTCTGGCCTGGGAGAGAAGACGAGGAAAGTTTACAACTCAGAGGAGGAAGGCAAGCCTTCAGGCGCCCTGCTCACCTGGGTCCAGCCAACGTGGCACGAGCAGGTAATAGAGAGAAATTGAGCTCGGGAGCCTGCGGTTTGCAAGGCAGCCCTGACTGTGGACTTCTCTCCATCTGCACACTTGTCCTCACTTCAGAAAACGCCACCCCCTTGGTTGGCTAGGGAGAGGGAAAGAGGTCTTGCCCTCCAATAGTGCAGTCTTTCTGAGAAGATACGAGCCACGCTGGGAGGTAATTAGATGAGGAGGTTCAAAGGAGG